ATAAAGAGGAGGAGGTGATAGAAAGTGTATATAAAGAGGAGGAGGTGATAGAAAGTGTATTTAGAGGCGAGCGCGTCCCTGCGTCCTCACTTCCTGTGCGCAGCGTCAGTCTCGGGGCGTGTCGGTGTTGACGGAGCCTCCTGCCTTCTCTTCTCCTCTCTTGTCTGTAGTTTAGTGGAACTTGCTCAGCCTGAAGCTCTCTACCTCCTGGCTGCTGTCGCCTCACGGTAAATATACATTTCAGACATTAAGACGAACCTCGCCTCGTCTCCCTCATACACAGTGCGGATAGATTAGATATCTGCTCGTCTCGCTTATTCGGAGTTTTACACACTTTGACAGATATCGCACCTAGCCATGTCTGTTAGCCCGATGCTAGATTCGCTAACGCTGAAGTTATTTGTGAGCTCAGAGCTACATGCCAACGTCGCTACGTGCTAGCTCGAAGCGGCGACGTTCCACTGTGTTTGTATACAGTCTACGGTTTAAAGACGTAAAGCAGCTGTTCTCAGTGACAGCATCACAACACAATGTGTCGTTAAAACTGTATAGCTAGCTCTGTCGCGTGTGGAGCTCGGTGCTAGCTCACCAAAACTTGGCAGTAACGTTAAAGTAGGACAGTTTCACTCATCACTTTGTATTTAAAACTTCTTATATGTTATCGGATCAGCTGATAACACACTGACACAGTCTCCAAGTGTCGTTTGTCTCCAGTCTGGGTTCTGCTTTCATTGTTTCCATAACAGGAAACATCGTGAGAGGGGCTAGTGGGTGTGCCTCCCCCGCTAATGGCACCGAGTAATTAAATAGACAAAACAAGGCATGTCATTGCTTGATCTATAACAAGCTCAACCATTGCTGCTGTAGCTACCTTGACAAACACTAAACCTGCTAACATAGCGTTAGCGTGATAGCTACACACTAAATAATGACGTGAGAACCAGTTCCTGTTCTTGCAGGTTGACGTTCAGGTTTTCTTTGCGTTGACTGTGTTTCATTCATATTTTATGTGCCATCTACTCAGGCTTTTAAATTCTTATGTTAGCCTATCCTTTATATTGTAAGTAGATTCTAATGTTGCCTTGACTTTTATGGAGCATGTTGGTGTAAATCGTTTCCCTGACTTACGTTGCATTTTGCCTTCACAGTTGGTAGAAGATGTTTTTGGCCAAAAAGTTTTTGGGCGGCATCATTGATGTTGTGAGGTAAGAATCTGCACGGAGCACCAGCTCACACCAAGAATTGTGGTTTGTGTTTTAACTTTTCATCTCACTTGTCTTTCTCTTTTTAGCAACATCGACCCAGCCCAGTTTGTGCCTTCTGATCCTGTGAGTGACACACATGACATTACCGGCTCCATCTGCCCATCAAACATTAGATGATTTACATTATTTGCCGATGTCTCTGTCCCACAGCCTCCTCCACGTAGACCAGTTGCATATGCAGAGCAGCATGAGAGTGATGAGGAGAAACAGTTCCGCAGAGTCTTCCAGCAGCTCGCTGGAGAGGTGAGTCTACCTGTACTTTGGATTTCTGCTGTTCTCTGCAGTAACCACACCATTTACTCCATCAAAATAACACAAGAAGATCTATAGTTTGAACAGTTTTTTATAACCCAGTATGCTAAACCATGTTGTGCGTCTGTATAGATTTCTGAAGTCTTAACTGTTGAATATTTGTCATACAGGACATGGAAGTGAGCCCAAAGGAGCTCATGGACATCCTGAATAAAATCATTGGAAAGCGTAAGACATGTTTGCATTTGTATTTCTCTTAACCAACCCTGTGTGTACCTATTACAAATTTGCGTGGTCTGTCTTTCTCTTTTGTGATTCAGTCCTTAAACTATTTATATATCTGACACATTATATGATTTCTGTGTATGTATACATAATGGTGAATGATTGTTTCAGATGGAGGTCTGAGGACAGATGGTTTCAGCATTGAGTCTTGCAGGAGCATGGTGGCAGTCATGGATGTATCCTTTCTATCATTAGTAGGTTTTATTTGTCGACTTGTATGGTCAACAGTGATGTGCTGACAGTTGACAGCACAGTAGAAAGCAGAACATCATACGGTATGATTTGGCACTTAAAATTGAATTGAATACAATTCATTGTATGTGTTTTTTTACTTTGTGTCATGTGAAGCACTTTGTAACTATGTTTAGAAAAGTGCTATACGAGTATAGTTATTATTAAATCACAGAACTGAAAAAATACATTGACATTTGGTTGGAAAAAAAGAGCTGTGTTGACTCACCACATTCCATCACACCCCACAGCTCATTAAGGCTGAGAACATACATTGAATTGTTGAGGGAAGTAACTGACAGATTTTAACAGTTGGGCTAAGCCTGCATTCATTTTTGCCTGTTGTGCTGCATAGTCGGGCTTAATGACCTTGAAATGTGTGCAGGTTAAATGAGTAGATTGCCTCAGGCACACTGCACTAAAAGCAAGGGGCCCTGCAATAAGAGCTCTGATATTATGTTTTTGGAAACCGAGGCTTCATAGCTCTGTATTGTCAGCTTAGAGTAAACTAAACAAGTTAGACGAAAAGTTTGACATCGATTCCCTGCTGCGTGGGAGGGAATGCCACGAGGAAGGCATATAAAAATACTCCTTGGGCAAATACAGCGCGCCCACATGCAATGCAGTAGCTGATCAAAGCTGGAAGAAAGGATGAAGACTGTTTTGTTGTCCTTAATGCTTTTACAGAGTGACAGCACGGGGAAACTCGGCTTTCATGAGTTCAAACAACTCTGGAACAACATAAAGAAATGGCAGGCAAGTACAGCGCCACCATCTGATCTTTTTTGGGTGGAGGTTTACACAGCGGTTGCTCAGTGACATTCCTGTGTCAATTGTCTTGTGCAACAGTGAACACAGATAAAGTTGCAGTGTAGTGTATACATATCAGCTGTTGATTGTGGTTAAAAATAACTTGGATTAGGATCCCATTTTTGTCTTTAACATCCATGTATTATGTTAAATTGAATCTGTTACCATGTGAACTGAGGGACACATTAAACTGGCTACATTGGAGGAAAATATATTTCTTGTAAATAATCTTAGTAAAAACTTATTCTGTCAGTGATATGACACAAATGTTATTGAAATTGAATGAGATTATAATTTTTACTGAAAGGTTCAGTGTGTGTAGTGATATCTAGAGGTGAAGTTTCATGTTGCAGCTGAATACTCCTCATCTCACCTTCCAAACACGAGAACCTGTGGTGAACTTCAGCTGTCCAAAACTCCAATGGTTTTAGTTTGTCCAGTTTGGATGACAGTAAAAAACATGGTGGCCTCCACAGAGAGGCCCCCCCCCTCCATGTAAATATAAAGTATTTAAGTTTAAAGGGCCCATTCTATGGTAAAGAAACCAAAAATCCCTTTCACCTAAATATTACACACTGAACCTTTAAATTATTTTTGATTATTGATTATTCAGTTGCTACAACCACATTGACAGCTATTTGCTTTGTTGGAAGGTAACTGTTAGTTTTTCTATTTGTAGTCTTTCTAGGCAGTATCTCAGCTTAAAAGGACACGTTTCGGATGCCAATGATGTTTTAAATTCTTATATTGTTCTTATTTAGGGAGTGTATAAGTCCCACGACACAGATGGATCTGGTGTCATCGGTGCAGATGAGCTGCCTAATGCTTTCCGAGCTGCAGGTTAGTCTTTTTTAACCACCTTCAAATTTTTATTGTAAAGATGCATCTGAACAAACTTGACTTAGCAGTTAGGATTTTATTAATGGTCAGCAGTGTTTCTGTGCATGTTTACAACAAAGAATATATTGGATAAGTAGTTGTTTCATAAGCCACAAAACTACTTTATTCTAGCAAATGTGTTTTTTCTCATCATATAGTTATTTAAATGTAAACACCTTGACAGACGTGCAGTCAAATGGTTTTAAAATGGGAAGAGGTTCATCTTTGAGTGGCTGATAAATAAAGAGTTAATGTTTTTTATATTATACCAGTTTGAATATCTTTGTTTGAAGGAGCGCAGCATGGAGCCCATGTAAATATAATTTAAATTCCTATTTACAGTAATTTTATTAATTCATCTCTATCAGGTTTTCCCCTCAATGACCAGCTGTTCGAGATGATAATTCGCAGGTACAGCGATGAAGATGGGAACATGGATTTTGATAACTACATCGGCTGCCTTGTAAGGCTGGATGCCATGTGCCGTAAGTTTCAAAGAGCACTCCTTTATCTGTGTGACAACAATGACTGACCTGGGATTTAATCTCATGAACTGAAGGCATAGCATAGGCTTAATATCTGTTCTGTTTTAGGTGCCTTCAAAACCCTGGATAAAGATAGCAATGGGACTATCAAAGTCAATGTCCAGGAGGTAAAGCCATCTCAGATATTTTAAACATCAGTGGGTTTTTGATTGACTGGAATTCAGTTTTTCTAAAAGCAGTGGCTCTGTTTTTTTGTTTTCAAAAAGTCAACTTCTCTGCTCTTGTGTCTTTTCAGTGGCTTCAGTTGACCATGTACTCTTGAGTCCAGACGACATCTCTCCTGCTTGTTTTACGGAATCACTTTATTTGTCTTCACAGTACAATACTTTCTCAACTATCCTAACAAATTCCTGTGATAATTTAGCAAATCCCATGTGCATGCCGGCTTATTTTGAATATTAATGCAATGAGTGTTGGGGGATTCTTTGTTCTGTAGTATTTGCCAGAAAAAAGTACACACTGGCACTTACAAAAGTACCCCTAGCTAAAAATTTAGGACGAGTTTGAAGCCAATATAACTCGATGAAAAGATTGTGAAAAATCTAATGTGAAAGCAGGAATCTCTCATTCTAATGTAGCTGGGGCTGGTTTTACAAAGAGGGGTTAAGGAACATTCACATCCTCTGTCAATGCTGTGCCAGCTGCTGAAAAACAGGAAAAGCTAGGACACTCATTACTGTCATAAATCTTCTACAGGGCACACTTGAGGTCACCTCAGGTGGAAGATGTATTTAGAGTATGTAGCTGCAATCTTAGTTGGCCATGTTTTGTAGTTCAACTACCTATTTTTCTTCATTGGCTCATAACTGTGGGTGTATGGAGACTACATGGTGGATATCTCCATCTATCTACTGTTGGGGCAGTGAGAATATATTTTAGCAGTCATGTTAATATATGGCAATTATTGACCTTACAAAAGCTCCATCCCACCTCCTCCTGTGGACAAACCAGTTTCCACACCAAATGGAACAGGCTATGATTATGTGCAGGCTTGAAGGCCCCACACACCCACAGGTGTTTTCAGGTATTGTGCTGGAGGTAGAGTTCTGTACAAGCTGAAGTTGGGTGATGCTATTGTGAGAATTAAATGAGGTCAACAAATCCCATGTACTGCCCCACCCAACAATTGTTTCATGTATAGTTTTACGTGGATGTGATGTCAAATTATACATAAATTGCCTGTCTTACTTTTTGTTAAACTACATTATTATTATTACATATTCCATCTTTGTGAAACCGGGCCCAATGCTACTGAATGAGAGATACTTCACTAAAACCTGTCAGTCTGCTAATTTAAATTAAGTGAAGAAGGTGTATGAACTATGGTTTGTTTGCCTGTAACAAGCAGATCTTGGTTTGCTTATTTGTACACTCCTTTACTGTGCATCAGTTACATTGGTATGGTAAATGCATAGTGGACAGTAATCCTGATGCTTTCTACAGCCAGTACAAAGTCTAAACAAAGAATTAATCTTTAAAATCCCAAATGTTCTTTAAAGTTACCTAATATTAGAGGCAGTGTGCTTATATATATAGATATATTTCAGTATACCCACATCTATATCTTCTCTGTAATAATGTACATTAACATCATGGGAGAAATGTATTGATATTTTGCTTTGGAATATTGATGCTGGTGGTGCAACTTTGCAATAGCATTCTGTGTGTCTTCACTTCCTTCTCACTGTTCACTGTGCCAGATAATGCCAGCACTGTGTGTGAGTTCCTCATATATATCAGATGTGTATGCCACCAATGCATGCCGCCAATTGAAAGGATGGATTGCAGAATGTTTTTTTTTTAACCATGCAGTTGAAGCCGTGGTCATTTAACTGTTCCTGAAAATGTTTGGTAAAATACACTTATGTGCCCTATTTGGAATAAATGGTACCTTAAATGTGCTTGTGTGGCTATTTTTGTCTTAGAATTGGAACCAACTCACAGTCTCCCTGTCTGATCTCTATGCTTGTCAAGAGCACTTGTTCAGGAAAACCGAGTGAATCTCAGACTCCTTGTGCACAGCTAGTAAACCTTGATTAGAAAGTAAACTAACATGATGGTGCTCTGCTCTGGCAGGAAACCTGAAATAAAATCACACTTTGCATAACTTCTAAGGCGCCAGCGTGCAAACTGCTAATGCTGTATAGTGACAAATACAAACACTCATATCTGTGTTGGTGTGTGTTTCGATAAAGCCAGCAAACGATACCGGAAGTTAGATTTGCTCCTTCAAAATAAAACCACACATTACGGTGGTGAACTCCAGACAAACACGGCATCTTAATTAGAAAAATGACTCGATCATCGTCGTCATTGATGTATAAGTTACACTTCAAACCAATAATTAGACATCATGTAGTAGCTGGCGTCACATTAATCTTATGTTAGACGGCGATATATGCGCTGCGCGATCAAGTGAAACATGCTACCTTACTAAAGCTAACCGGACATATTTTGCTTAGCGTTAGCTTCACGTTGGTTAGCTTGACGGTAGCTACCCCGGCGATAAGGAAGTTAATCTTCACGTTTTTGGGACCAATTCTCATCTTCTTTGTCCTGTGGTATGTTCAGCATCTCGTTGGACATCTTAGCCACCACCGTACACCTTTTTCCAGCGAGGTTACGTGGACTAGCCGCTTCGTTAACCATTTCTGACTGGTATGTAGCGTTAGCTAACGTCCTGCTGCAGGGAGAGCTAACCCTCTGTTAGCTGTAATGTCCAGTTACATTCAACACAGCGTTATACACGTTTCTTTCTGTACACGCGGGTGTTTACATGGCTGCCTCTTGTTAGAATCACCAGAACAACGTTGGGAAATGCATCAATGTCAGTATAAGTACGAGTGCTCTCCAGGTGTAGCTAGCTATCAGGCTATCGCATGTGTAGTAATAACTATAGCATCGCCCATTGTTCATTCACTCATCAGTGTCAGTGCTAACAGTGTTCTAATCACACTAAACCTGCATTATCTATCTGCTGAACTCTGAGAGAACACTGGGACATGTACAAATAACGAGCTTAATGATACATTGTTGATAAGATTGGTTTATTATTATTTAGATAATCACCCAACTAGACTTTAACACAGTTATTGCTCAGCTGCTGAGGCTGATCGAGTGTTTGAATCCATTAAAGATACTCACCCCTTGTTCTCAGTCCCAAAGATCAACTGCATAGTAAACTTTATTTAAAATGTCTGCTTTGTTTTTGACTGTGTTGTTAATCGGACTTCCTGGCCCTCTGACAGACAGCTGGAGGAGTTACAGCAGAGCTCAGAGGAGACCACAAAGCAGCTGCTGACTCTGTGTGTGGAGGATGTCTTCTTCATCATCATCATTATACTTCAACCAAGACAGTGTCACTCGCTTCAAGAAGAGAAAAGCCCGGTTCTCCTTCAGCGAAGTCCACATACTGTTGGATGAAGTGAGGAAGCATCGAATGGTTGTTGTGGGTATGTGTCTTTAGCTGACCAATGGTTTCACTCATCTTCTAAAAGTAGAGATGGTGCTTTGAGGTTTTGTGTCTGAATATAAAATAGTTTTGCACACAACTGTATGTATAAAGGTAAAAATGTTGAAAATGGTTCAACCATTGACCTAATTACATTCAAAAGCAAGCACTTATAAGGTCTTTTTGATTTTGATTTTTTTTTCTTTCTCCAAAGGCAAATTTAATCGTGGCGTACCAACAGACGTGAAGAAGCACACATGGGCAGAGATTACCGCACGTGTCAATGAGATTGGGGAGTGTCAACGTGAAGTCATTGAGGTCATCAAGAAATGGTCAGACCTCAAGTGTGACACCAAGCGGAAAGTGGCTGCCATGCGGTCAGGGACAGTGCCCAATAGGGGCCTCAACTCACGTCTTTCCAGAGACCTTAACCAGACAGAGAAAATAGTGCTTCAGATCCTGGAGATGGACGAGGAAGACCAGAACATGGGTGACTTTGGCCCTCTGGGAGATGATGACGATGTGCCAGAGGAGGAGGAAGAAATGGAAGAGGAGGATATGATGGGAATGCAGAATTCTCCTAACGGCGCGTTGGACATGTCATCTATGCCTCCACCAACCTCTTACTCCGTTAGTGGACTTGCACAGTCAGGTACCAAAGAAGATCAATTCATGTTGTCTCATGAGTGCTTTAAGGAGTGGTTCAACCTAAACTGACCATTTTGTCCAAAGGTCAAACACCACTGAAGTTGATATGTCTACCTAAAAACACAGAATTTTTCACCTGTCTTTTGAAAGTACACTTTGTGGGTGTTAGAATAGCTATACATTTTAACTTCTGTTTTAATTGAGGAGAAATGCATTGAGGTTGTTTTATTTGAACGCTTTGAATGTTGCAGGAGACTCATCACAACCTTCCTTCGATGTTCAGTATGAAGTACCGGCCACGGAAGGTGAGATGTCAAGTTTTGGATACATATGAAGTCCCTGAATTTTTTACAACACGTTTTACTTATGACAAATTACTGATGAGCCCTTTTTCTCTGACTCAAGACACTGAAGCTGCATTTGCAGACTCAGACGATGACCAAAGGGAGGACGCACCTCCTTCCACTCAGGCAGCAAAACCAATAGAGGACCATCTAGGAAACAACGGCATCCAGAAACAAGGACGACCTCAGACGCCCTCCGGACCTTCATCCTCAACAGGCACGCCTTCGCTGCCAGGTCAGCCCTCACAGAACACGAGGGACAGCATCCTGCATAGTGCATCGCTGAGCCTTCAAGAGCAACACGCCACCAACATCCTTCTGGAGACGGTTTCACGCTCCCTGGAGCTCCTGTCTGAGTCGGTGCAGCAGCTGGCAGAGACTCAGCAGGAGTTTGTGCGGGAGTCGCTGCAGCTCCAGCGGGAGACGGTGCAGGTTCTCAGAGACTTCACAGGTGGAGCCATTGCGCTCATGCATGACAAACTGAACGGACGGCCAGCATTATAGCAATAAAGCGTCAAAGTTGTTAAGTTGTATCACTGACTTCATACATGGCCTTCAGGCACAGGATTTTTTTTAAGTTCCTATGGACTCCATTGCTGATTACTGTAATTTTTGATAATCCTCAACAGATTTATCTTGGCTATATTTTAAAACGGAATTCATAGAAAAGTATTGAGGGCCTTGCCGTCTCCGTAGTAACATGAAAAAAGATCTTGTGTTCGTCATAGAGAAGGTGTGGAGGTTTGTTTTTTTTGCTACTGAAAGTGAAACCCCTTCCACTTGCATTGTAAAACATTTTTTATTAAGCCTACACCACTTTTAAAGCCTTTACATTGTTTTAATGTTGAGATTCAAAGAATGAGTCTAATTATGAAAAGTCAGTTAAATCCACGTGTGTGTCCTTGTATAAGTTGTAGCTTTCTCTTGCATCAGTGTCTGGAGATAATCACATGTACTGTAATGGTAAGTGGATTTCTGCACCTGACCATTATATGGTCCATTTCTCAAAAGGCTAAACAAGGTGTGTTAAATAGTTGGAAAATACCTGTAACTGAATACTTTGTGATTGTCTGATTTAGTTTTTTTACATTACAAACATGAACACTTGAATATAAAAGTTTCAATAATTTCTTTTAAAATATGGAATAAACTTCTCATGCATTTAAACAGACCAGAAGTCAGACATAATTCAGATATCACATCACTAATACAAACGCCCCTGAATGGTTGATCATAAAAATCTCAAGCTCAACTGAAGATGGTACATTGAAAATTTTAAGTGCTTCACAGACTGATTGTTTAAATGACCCCTTGAGAGGAACTTTAATAAAGTGTTAAAAAATACAACAGGACCTCAAAGGAAAAAGCAAATGCTATTTGATTTGTTTTCATTGTCATCAAATACCGTTGAAAGACCAAAAACTAGTAAACCAAAGTACTGTCTGTGTGCTGTGTCCTCTGTGCCCTTTAGTCCTACCCATTGTTGTCTACAAACTATTAAAACACATTGATGAGCCACACTGTTGCCCTGGGTGACATGTTCCTTCACAATGATGAACATGAGCATTTAATTGATCTCTCGTATCATGTCCTGCTGCTGTAAATATGCACTACGGCGCCAAGTGTGTATAAATCCACTGCTGAAAATAGACCCCAAGAGTGCAGTATCCTTTCAGAAGCATTTTCCAGCTGATTGATAAAATTACAGGACCAGGGTTAGCTAGGGGAACATTGGTGGTCTTGGGGCTGAGGGCCATAGGAAGGGTTAGGGAGGTCTGAAGGTTGAGAGGCATTACATTGGTTTTGGTCTTTTTATGGGATCTGCTGACAGATAGAAAAATGTAAAGACACCAGGTTTGTCCTTCATTAGAGGAGGACATGCGATATTACAGCTTCATTAACCCTCCTTAACTGAAACGCCTTTAGCTGTTGTTATTAGACTGAGTTCAACCACTTCTGCAGGGACATAAAATGTGCAGTAGGGGGCTCTGCTGCACAGTCTGTCTGAGAACTAGTAAACAAAATACAGCAACTGTCCCAGTGTGTCTGGTGTTTCCTCAATGTGTAGTGTGATGCCATAAACAATCAGAACAATTTTCAAGGGTGGCAGAAGTCATGTTTAGTCGATAGGTGGCATGAATCATGCACTTGTCATGTCTGAACTAAGAGCTTCATTTCTTCTTACAAAAGATTTGATAAGAATTTTAAATATTAACACTGTTGGGTTGTTTTGCATGCTTTTCTTTGGGTTGTCTTTATTCACCAGAGTAAGTTGGTTTAAGTTGTTCAGTGTGATTGGTGGCGGGTCAGTGAAGATGCAGATGTGCTCTTGGCTTTGTTGTATAACATTTGTCCTATGATTCCACATCATCCAAAAACTGCTGATGCTGGATACTACAAATGAGGAGGGCAAGGGAGGTTTGTTATTTTGCACTGAGTTTTATATTTCAAGAAAAAG